TAGCTATCTCTACTAATCTAGAAGACATTTCGCTTATAGATACACTACTAAAACTAACTAAGAACTAGATATTTAATTAAAGCTAGAGTAGATATATATATTTAGAATTGTTAGAATTAAATAATACTAGTATTTACTTAAAAGAGAAGGTAGTATATTCTATATAGCTAGATTAGTTAAGTAAGCTATAAAATACTTAGTCTAATAACGCTACCTATTTAGAAATAGAATAACTTAATCTATTAGGTATAAATAGAATCTATACCTGCTGTTATTTTTCTTACTTAGCTTAGCGCTGCGTCTCTACTACAAAACATGCTAAGTAATTAGTTAATTCTTGTGCTAATAATAACTAATACTAAGTATATTACTAACTACTATTGTTGTAATGTAGTATTCGTATACAGAAGCTCTAGTCTTAGAGGTAATTACAGTTGCGTAGTAAAGCATTATGTAATCTATCTAACGTAGGAACAATAGGTATAAGTGCGACGTGTTTCTTGTGATTAAAGAATGTGAGTAAAACACTCTCTTATTGACATCGAGTTATCACAGGTCGACCTGTTCTTTTAGGCTATCACACTTGTCTCTATAGCAAATTGCGTACTGTATAGCAATAACCTGTCCATCATGCGCTTCTTCGCCACTATCAGCGCCGGAACCCTCCTGTTCCAGAGCAGCACCATCATGGCCGCCACGGTCGACCTTCAGGTTAGGCTTCCATGAGCAATCGCGACCCTTTCCACAAAAGCGACTAGCTAACATGTCTCGGTTTCCTTCAAGGCACGAGGCTGCTCCTCCTCTAACAGCGGAACACACTGCATCTCCTCCGACCAGTCTAACCAAGACAACGCTCGCGCCGCACTGAAAGACCTCATGGATCAATGCGGCAACGGCAACCTAGCAGGGAACGCCAAACGAGTCTCCAGCAGCGCGTACAACGGTGTGGTCGCCTACGCCTGCAATGGCTTCTGTCGCACTGGCTATATGCCCTGCCAGGACGCTGAGTGGAGTATCAACCGCGTCATCAACAACTGCAACTTTGGCAAGGGTATGGGATGGGACAGCCAGGAGACAAGGGGCACGTGGTATGGCATTGCCCATGATTGGGACAACCCGTGTGGCTATGGCTACACGGGTCGTGGTGCGACATACTAGTAGAGATGAGTCGAGGAAGACCGATATGTTTAGATCCATAGAAACCGGTAGTTGGATGACAAGGTTTCCCAGCCTCAATAGCAGCCTTGCGTTAATCAAGAAATTTGTGCACCACCAATGGCCAGCTCGCAAGATTGGGAATAATCGCGTGCAGATTGCGTACCAGTGAGACAAGTACATAGGGTCGTACTGCAAGCACATTGCGGCGCAGTATCGCTATTACTAGTACCATCATCATCCTCCTGTTGTGTTGACCCAGCTACGTGTACTTCGTAGCTTGCGTACACATCCTGACCTACGCGCTTTACCTCCGCGACCCATTTCTCACCAAGACTCTATTCGAGCTCGAGATAGGTAAAGTAGTTTGCAGAATGCAAGGCAGCTGCGCATCGGTACGCCGGCGTAACATCCGCAAGGGTTTAGTATTCTTCAAGCTTGGTGCAGTAAGTATTAACAGCGTATGAACAGTAATTGAAAACCCCCCCGGGGTGGTCGTCTGCGAGTTTTCAGCGTGCTGGATCTTCTCAAAGAGGTCAACTTGCCGCTAACAAAAGCTCGGTGGATAGTGCCGAGATTCTCATTCTACATGTGGCTTGCGAAAAGACCAGCATATCTGCAGTGAAACTATCCTTGAAACATGGTATGTCTCCCTCTTCGAGGGACAAGGAAGGCAGGACATCGCTTCGAATCAGTCTTGGGAAGCTCGCAGATCAATGGAAATTTGCGAGGCGTGTCTATGATCACGTCGGTCCTTCGTACGATGGAACGATCGTCAATGTACTGCTTGGTGGCAGGCTCTCAGACACCGATCTCAGACGTCGGAAGATTGAATTAGTCGTTATGGGAAGACGATCTTCTAAAAGGCCACACTGGAACTGATACTTTGAAAGGACAGCCGCAATACAACCCCTTTGCAGGAGATATTCGACGAACGCAAGCAGAAAATGTAGGCTCTCTACTCCCATGCTATATATCTTAAGCTAGACAGCTTTAATTTCTAGAGTGTTTATTTCTTCGAAGATGAAAGATACATTCGATCTTAGTATTTAACTTAGTTAGACCTTGTGACTACTTACGGCAATGTGGCTCCAGGTGCTCCAACAGGTGCGGCTCGCAGTGTCTGTTCATGCATCCGCGAAGGATCTAGTGCCAGACCAAGTGGGCCAACGACAGGCGGGGCGGCACGGACGGATGCCTGTCTCCGGAAACATCATGCCGGCAAATTGTAACAATCAGGCAGGCGACAAGTGTTTCGTAGGCGATGTTGCAAACGCATTGATCCAACACAGCGGGTGTGGAATTCGCGTTGTTGAACACTCCCGAGGTCCACTGGGTCGGACGAGCGAAAGACGGTAAAGAGACTGCGGATATCAGGCCTTTGTATCACAACGCAGCTGATCCAAGATCCAAACATCGCGCAAACGATTAAGTGCTGAGCGATCGGGTGGTAAAACGAGTCATGTGTACTTCGGCGCATGGCGCAATAGGAAGGCAAGAACCCCACCGAACGATGGCTATCGTGCGAAAGGATCGAAGGATTGCAATAGAAGGCTGCCCCGCGCTGCTTTCTTTATCCTTTGACAAACATTGCAGAACGAACACTCGTCGCCTGACATGTCGATACCTGTACCAGATATCCTCGAGCGTGTTGCGGCCGCCGGCAGAGCTTACAAAGCCGAGCAAATCGGCTCGCGAGAAAGTCTTATCGAGCTTGGTCGAGACCTGGTTGCGGCGCTCGAGATACCTAGTGAATTCCTGCAGAGAAGCTTCTGGGCCGAGGTTCGTGACTGAACCTGTACTGCCACCAGCATACTGATGAGTCTGCAGCCGGCATTGTCAGCGCACTGCAAGTTCGCTGTTGAAGTCAAACTCTTCCAGCATCTTAGAGATGCAGGCGATGCCGGAGTTAGTCCGGGCGACCTTGTCCAAAAGACGAGCGTTGACTCCGTTCTATTGCAACGGATCATGCGTCACCTGATCGCTATGAAGATCGTTTCCTTCTCGAACGATAGATTCCATGGTACCCGTCTGAGCCACGAACTTGCAGCGGACAACTATCAGAAGAGCATTGACTTCTGCTACGACGTGTCACGACCGTCGTTCAATGGCTTCCCGGAGTATTTCAAGAAGACTGGTTACAGGCTACCCACTTTGCCTACAGAAGGACCATTGCAGGATGCGCATGGAACAGATTTGCCTTTTTTCCCATGGCTGGTCGCAACGCCTCCTCATCTCGACGAGTTCGACAACTTCATGTCGGTGTATCGCGCAGGCAAGGCGAATTGGTTCGACCCCGGCTTCTATCCGGTCGCAGAACGTCTGATCAATGGCTTTGACTCCAGCTGCAGCGAGGCCCTTCTGGTAGATGTCGGTGGCGGTCGTGGTCACGATGTCCAGCAATTCGTGGCGCAGCACCAGTCTCATCCGGGCAAAGTCATTCTTCAGGATCAAGAGCCAGTCATCGCGGCTATCAAGGACAAGGAAGAGCTTCCTTTTGAGAGTCAGGTCCATGATTTCTATACGCCTCAGCCTATTCAGTCAGCCAGGGCGTACTCACTGCACTCGATTCTCCACGACTGGAATGACGAAGAAGGCGTCAAAATTCTCGAAAGCCTGAAGCCAGCGCTGAAACCCGGCTACTCACGGGTGCTGCTGAACGAAATTGTGCTTTCAGAAGAAAAGCCCACCATCGCCGCCACCTCTATGGATATGATGATGTTAGCACATCTTTCGGTGCGCGAGAGAACAGAAGCGGAGTGGAGAGCGATAGTTGAAAAGGCTGGTCTGAAGTTCCTAGCCATCTACAATTACCCCGGGGTTGCTGAGAGTGTTATTGAAGCGGAACTTGGAGAATGAGACGCGGAGCGGCAAATGACAAAGTAAACGAGGTACCAGGTGTCATGTATGTAGGAAAGTAAGAATGAATAGAGTGCGCTTTTGACGCAGACTGCGGTCTGATCCTCATCGGGGCTGATCATTGAGATGAGGAAAGTGTTATGACGCGCAACGTGTATGTTGTGTGGTGATGGCAAGCGGGCAGTGGTTCAGGTCAGCCCATCGCCGGAAGGACCTCGGAGCAGCTAGCGCCGACGGAATGTTTGAACACGGCCCAGTTGGTTAGTTCGTCGCTCCCGTTTCTAGCACGTGTGCGCACCCTGATGAGCACATTGATATAGTACATTCGCATGATTTGAAGTTCCGATTCTGCCTCTATCTTGGTCCCTCTATGGATGCGCACTCCTAACCCGACCTTTGCGCTCTGTATGTTACCCAGGTACCTAGGTACAGAATCACACGCCTACTCACAAAAATAGGCCCCATCGCGGCCATGGTACATCAGCCATCCACCCATAGGCCCCCAGCAGTAAATAGTGCCGTCAGGCCGTTGAATGCCGTCCCCATATTGAGGGTCAACGGGAGGTGAACTCCAAACTGGGAACATGCCGTTGGTATGAGCGAACAGACGCTGGTCATGCTGTACTGCCGCTAGGCGCAGCCGCTCTCCCATGCTGCTGAAGCTTCCACTTACTGGACGCGGTCTCCGCGTCCCACGGGTACCATGAAACGGCTCACGACCCATGTGTCCCGATCTACTCCCAGCGTTCGTGGCAGCAGCGGTGTCATGTTGTCCAGTGCTTGTCATCACTGATTGTACAGCAGCGCGAGCCGTGTCAATGTCCATTTGATTGAGACGACGTAGTCCTCTCAGGCGGCGAATCATGGAGCGAGCTTGCGCAAGGCTATCGAACCGCTGCTCCGATAACCCATGGTCTTCGGTACGAGATTGGTTGTTGAGAGCCGCGTAGATCTCGTCGAGTTGTACATCTAGTGCAACGAGTTCTTCACTGTAGCCGTCGGTGGGCGAGGGCACTTGAGCATCGCGTGGAGGTAATGCCCCATGGCTGAGGATCGCTTCGGCTGAGTTCGCACGAGAATGTCCGGGCGAGCGCATAATACTTCGAGGAGTCGGCGAGGACGGCTGTGGACTATAGGGACCAGGGATCGTGGGGTCTCGTGAGACACGATCTGTCCGAACCGTCTCTGCAAATCGCACGTTACGTGACGGTGAGTTGATGCCATGGGCTTGTCCCATGGTCAAAGTGTCGAAGTCGTTCGCCAGACGATCGATTTCCTCGCCTCCAGATCGGCGCGCAGGAATGCGGCGACTAGCTGTACCCCTATTTCTGATGGTGTTCAGATTCTCCATGGTACCCTGTAAAGCCTCGACGAAACTGGGAACTGGGCGACGCTGACTACTCAGTAGAGAGGCAACATGTTCCCGAACTTGATCGCGCTCGCTCGACAGTAGCTCTTCGTCCAGCCAGTCAATTGGAATTGGATGTACGGCATTGATGTTACGATCGCCGTTCAACGGGATGTAATCGGCATTAGCTGCCCTACTGACAGCCGCTGCAGTACGGTATTGCCCGTAAATGGTGTGAATTGTGCGGTTGTGAGAAGCCATCTTGTTGCTGTCGGAGAGGTTGGGTCTGTAGACCTGCAAGCAGCCTGAGAAGAGAATCTGCCCTTGGGACTCGTGTGGAAGGTGAGTTTTGGATGGGTTGATAGCGAGATGATAACACCGGCGTAACTGTTTGGCAGCTTGTAGATATCGTTCGAAGCTGTAAGTTTTACCAGGGTTGAAGTAGGAGTAGACAAATCGCTGATAGCTGTGGAGGAGGCGCTCTTATTTAGCTATGGCCGAACGCGGTCGCATAGCCATCAGCAGATCGAGTAACGCCACAACTGAGAGCTTTCACCTCTCCTCAGTGGCTGCAGATGAAGGCAGTAGTAGGAAATTTAGTACGGTTAGTGAAAAGATCGAACGTGTGTGAGCTTTTCAGTCTCTCAAGCGACCCGTTGCAGCCATCTTCACCATGGTCGCGACCCATTGGTCCCGAGGTTTGTCAAGAACCGATTTTATGTCGCCTTCGGTGACCTGATCGCAGAATCTGCTAGTCGACACCAGCCACTTCACTGTTGTTGTAGATTTTGGAAGTTAGTAACCCACTATTTTTGGAGTGATACAGCGAAAAGCCGATACACGATTGATATTCTATCTCTATTTACTGTGCGTGCTACATAAGTGTATGCCCTAGCGAGAATTGCTATTTCCAAACGCCCCTGAACTGTCTCGGATCGAGGAACGGAAATGGCGGCAAATCCGACGATGACGAACTTGGCCGCCTGTGAGCATCCGGTGCACCTGCCTGCAGAAATTGATCATACAAACTTTGACCCATTTGACGGCGTCTGTTGTACGCCTCAGCGGCACGGTAGTTAGCAACCTGTTGAAGAACCTCTTGTTGCTGACGCAGAAGCTCCTCGGAGTCCCCGCACTCAAATTGCGAGAAACGATGGACCATCCGATCGAACTCTTCTTCCACTCGCGATGGCTTTTGGCGCTCGGTTTCGCGCGTTTTTCCACTACTTTTTGCTTGCGTAGGGCCGTCCAGTCGCAATTGCTCTTGCTTGGCTACATCGAGAACGCGCATAGCTTTCTCATGCCTTGTCCGCGCGATAGCAAGCGTTGCAAATCCGAATTTGCGTATCTTTTCGTCGTCTAGGCCTGAGTAGCGCTCTCCCCTGATGTGAACTTTGTCGAGGCATGCCCGTGCGCGGTCGATGCTTTCGATCACGCCCTCTCGGTAACGTGGTTGAGTGATGACCCCGTTCAAAGTCCTCATCGATTCGGAAAGATCGTCGTCGATCTTTTGCAGTTCCTGCCTCAGTGAGACAACTTCCGAGGCAGAGGGAAAGCGGGCCGGCACAAAAGACTCAGGTTCCGATGGTGCAGTGGATATGCTCCACTGTGTCGGAGAAGAACCGGTTGTCCGCGAAGAAGCCGTTGTCGACGAACGAACCGTGGTTGGCGAAGAAATGGTTGATGCGTCTTCCACATCAGCTTCTGACGTCTCCCACAGATCATCAGCGAGCTCCAGAGCATCCACTACGAGCGCGCGGGAGTCAGACAAGGCGCCCTTGCACTTGCGTTCGAGGACGCGCACCTTCTCGACTGCACTGCGAGCTTTCCGAATGGCGCCGTATAGATCGCGCCGCGCAGCTGAGCTGGTGACGGTCAAAGCAAGCGACTCGAGACTGGCAAGATGCTCTTCCTGAAGCGCCAGTTCGCGGCTTGCAGCGCTGTGCTCCACGACTAAAACGCGTGTCTTCTCGTCGAGCTTTGCGTCCTTGAGGAAGTCGGTGTGTCTGCTTGGCTTTCGCATCTTGCTGGAGCTAGATGATCGCGATCCACTACGACTCTCAGACTGAAAGACTGAGCTTGGCGTACTAACCGGGGGTGGAGGGTAGCCAGGGGGTACGGTACTCTTCCATTTATTTATATTCCGGCTACACCCAAGGGCGCCTGACCTTGAGCCGCTCATGACATTGGTGTCAGCCTCCACATGCATGGAGGAATGTTTGCCCCGGGACTCCTGATGCTCTCTTGCCGTGTGGTAAGTCCGGTTGCTGGTCGTATCCGTGGTCGTTAGGTCCGCAGTGGTCGAGCGATCATGATCCATATCCTGTTGGACCGTCTCCAACAAACCCAAGGTTTCTTCTACCGCTTCAACAAATTCGACGTCTTTATAGCTGTTACTAAACAGCTCGGCAGTGACATGTTTGTGGACCGCAGCGCGTTCACGAGAGTTCAAGTCACGCAGATACGCGACCGGGATTGGGTGGACGACGTTGAATTTGAGCCCGGTCTCTCTCACTGAGATGAACTCTGCGAATGGCGCATCTTCCACAGCTTTGATGCTTTTGTAGCGGCCTCCGATTGTATGGACGGTTCGGGAAGCCATTGCGGTGTCGTCTTTGATGGGATTAGGTGATGGTGTCGTGCACTGGACATTCGCCGATAACTGACAGTACAGGTATCAGGAGAAGAGCGCGCTTCAGAAGTGTGCTCGGTAGAGGTGTGGTATAAGATCTTTGTAAAGCTGCGGAGAGCGCGCGTTTATATACACATACGAAAGGGGTGTCCAGGCTCCAGCAGTCCCCTAGTTCTCGTCATTGTTCTTGGCGTATGGTCAATTCTCCCAGTGCGTCATTGGGAGAAGAGGACCCGCTACGATGAACGATGAGAAGCCGTGCGCACTGCTATAGCAATTCTCGCGTGCCTAGCAAGCGCGCACAGACCCGAAATTTGGTGTCCATGTTACAATCGAGAATGAGATGAGACATATAGTTTGTCGAGTTTAACCATGATGACGTTCGAAAAGGCAGCCGAGCGGATGAGACCAGGCTCCATCCGGTTCCTCTGCGTTACCGATTCGACAATTCCAACCACCTCCTCTCTTGATACAGGTCTTCTCCATAGTCAGGCGTGGCGTGAAGGCGCTCGAGACCTTGAAGGTATTCTCCATGGCCTCCCATTCCTCAAAGTCGTGGAAACAGTCGAAATCGCCGTTCAGAAAAAGCTCTTCTAAGGACTCTGGGAGAAGGCTCCTTGCGTCGAAGTCGACATCGATCTGTTCGTAATCCTCCTTTCGGTAATAGCCTTGCTCTAGCGGCTCATCGCGTTCAGGGTCTTCCTCTTTTGCCATGTCGGGGCGAAGCATGCGCCAGGGACAGTGAAGTACACGGAGCTTCTGGCACTCTCGGAGAGAAACAAACGCTGGGCCATCCTCGGGGGGTTCAATCTATCAAATTGTACTCAGTTTGGAACATGGACGGCGGTTGGTGACCTACATCTGTGTACTCTTCGCTGAGCATGAGGACTTCCAACGAGCGGCCGGCGTGTGTAGCAACTGCTCGAATAACTTTTTTTGGTTCGTAGCAGCTCGATTCGGACACCAGAGCATCACCACCGTCGTATGTTAGCTTCTTCAGATGCCGAATGTTCGCGAGTATGGTTGCTAGGCCGTCCACATCGAAGACACAATGTCTGAAGAATAGCTCTTCTACGTTAGAGCACGGAGCAGCACCTGTGGGGAACAAAGTGCGTAGGACGTCCTCGCTAGGCGAACCACCAATTGCTTGCCCTACAAACGTCTTTACCGAAGGGATACTGAGATAGAAACACGCCCAATCAGGAGAGCTGCTTCCTTCGTCCCGGGGGGAACGCACGGCGACCGTCTTGAGACGTTGTAGGGGAAGCTTTGGTGCCATGACCGGGTCCTTGTATCCTAACGCGATCTGCCATAGAACAAGTTCCAGACAGTCTTCCATGCCGACTTCTGAATGGCTGATGGTCGTGAGATAAGGTAGATAGTGCAGAAGGATCGCGATTATGGCGTCCTCAAAGCCGGCGTGAATTCGATCTTCGATAGATCCCATCGTGTCGTACGGCCGAGGTGAAAAATTGAGGGTATAAGAGTATCGTCTCTGCAGATTCAATTCATCTTCGCCGAACCCCGGATACAGATCTTGCAGCCCCCTTGCTGCCTCAATGAACAAGGCCTTGTCTTCTTCGGATGGCACCACGCCGTGCTTTGGGTGGGAAACATGCAAACTCTCGTTCGCATTCCAATTGTATTGCCGGCTTGGTGGAAGGTTAAGTTCCCTGATGTACCACCCTAGTCGAGGGTTTGCTATTACGTCTCTCAAGGTCTCCCAAAGAAGCGTGCGAGCATCGGTCGTGTCGATGACCTTCCATTTCGCAAGTAGTCGTGCATGCTGTCTTAACAAGGATTTGAGTAGTGTCGCATGGTCTTTGCAGGTAAGGGCGAAATTGAGAGTCGAGTCCGGGTCCAAGCTGTCAGCTATGTTTAGCTTGAGCTCCGGTGGCAGCGTAATGAGAGCCATGCTGGTGTTGAGATGGGATGGCTCTCAACGGACGCGTCGCATGCCATGCTTTATATCGCGACGAGCAGAGCATCTGGGCGGATTGCTAGAGCTGTACAAGCCTAGCGCAAGGCTGCGACGAGATGCTCTGCTCCTTGGGGAGTGGTGGAACGGCGCCGTGGCATGCGTAGCCGGCCCGCCGTCCAGCGCGCATCGCTGCACTCCAGGGCTGGGGGCCTGACGCCTGCCTGGAGCCCTCGCGGCTTGACTGGACATCTCACTCCATGCGCGGGGTTACAGATCCTTTAAACATGGAATCTTTTATTAAGCAGTGGCACAGACAGGGGGGAACAAAGAAGATGCAAACGCGGCGGGGCGGAGCAGCCGGGCGGGCGCGAAAGTGGCGCGTCTTTCGGCGCGTTGCGCGAACTTCATCTCTACCCAACACTGCGCATCACCAGCGGCAGGGACTATCAAGAGATGCATTCGATTATCCTCTGGTATCCATCTTCTTATCCCCCTTCTCTCTCCGATCGCGGGGACCAACCGCCATTCATTCACAATTGAAAGCGCACGCATTGAACTCATACTACGAAGGCTACGGCTGGTATGCCCACTCGCTGTACAAATTCCAGGTCGAGACAATTCAACATGCTACTATTCAACATTCTACAAGCGTAACATGTGTCGCATTTATGCTACTCAACTATCTTCCGACATTTCTGCGCTTTCTCGTCGTCACCCGCGAATTTGGCAGCTAGACCAGCTGCTCCACTAACGTCAGGCTTGTCCTCATTGCCGCACTCAGACAAGCAAGTCCACCTTGTCTGATCCACCTCCTCGTCGCCATAACCATCCTCATCCTCTGCATCGTCAGAGACAGAAAGATGCAGGTCCAACACCACATCCTCCTCGCCGATGAGCACTATGAGCGCATCGGCCACGCTGATCATCTCGAGCATCTCCTCCCGCGCCGTTTCAGCCCCTTGCAAGAACTGGTTGGCAAATGCTGAGATTGGTCCTATACCGGGGTGTAGGGACAATATACCCTGATAGCGACTAGGTGGTCTGACAGACGAGTCGTCGACCAAGGCATCAAATTCAGCCTGGACAGAGGTTGCGTATACCTTCAGGTTCAAAAGATCTGCTATAGAAGAGGACATTCGCGATGTGTCAATCCACTCCATTCCAAGTGGAGCAGCATGCCTGCCAGGTTGGTAACTTTGGCGCTGCGCTGGGTTGCGACAAAAGCAGGCGTTGCTGCGGGTGGGCCAGGTAATGGTATCTGGTGTGAATGTGACGTGCTTCTTCACTCGAGCCTTAGCGACTTTCGCTCGCGCTACATCCAACGACGAGAGCTTTCGCTTCACTGCAGATCTGAAGCTGACATGCGTCAGTACAGCCGGGTATTTCGTTTGCATCTGGACATTACGTATCGCTTTCGAAGAGCTGTTGGTCGTCCACATACACCCTACGTCGCCTGGATGTTGTTTCTCCCAAGCTTCTTCGTACTTTTGCGAGTACTCCAGAAGCTCCACAAGCTCGACTAACTGATAGCGCGCCAGGTGCCAACACTGTCTGACTAGAGCGAACTCATTGCGAACGCGCGCTTGCTGCCAAGGGCCGCCACATCTCTGGAATACCTTGCCGAGCGCATCGAGGAACTGGAGACACATTTCCACTTCGCAGACTGGGCAATATCCGCCGGTGATGATATCTGAAGGATGAAGTCCATGTCCGCACATGTTTGCAGGATTTCTGTTACGCGTCCGTGCGTTACCGCGCTTGAGCTTTTTGTTGTCTTCGTCAGTGCGTCGATATGCACGAAACTCGCAATACTCTGTGGCATTTCGAACAATACCAGGCAGCGAGCCTACTCCGTGCTCTTCCTGCCACTTAGTGAAGTGCTGCACATCTTCAGGCGAGAAGAGAATGGCTGCGGGAACGTACTCGGCTATGGAAGAGGGCATGATGTGGAAGGTTGCGCTGGCGTGAATGAGTGAGTATTGGAGGATCGCAAAACATTGCCAGAAAGCCCGTGCTTATTCTCGAGCTTGTTTCCGTCGACTGTTCTGGGAGTGAATGCGCAATAGCGAACGGCAAGTGGAAGATCTACTGAGAACAGGGTGTTTGCACAGTGTGCAGTCACGAATGTTTGGGTCATTGCGATGAATCATTCCAGAAGAGTCAAGGCCACTAACAATGCATTGTAGGATGAATCTACCAGCTCCAGTCGAGAGCGTTACGTCTACGTCATACCCACTCGGTGGTTGCTCAGATGGACGCGCGTCACATGGGGACCGTCCACATATCCTCTCGTTACAGCTGGCTCGGCAAGACCTCCTAGGGCCCAGGCGTTCCTTGTATACAACTGTGGCGTTCAAGCCCTCGCGTCTGAGGCCCCAAAACCCTCGCCATCTTCCTACTTACGCCCATTACTTTCCATCCTCCTCGCGCCTCCTGCACATTCGTATGTATTCCAAATCTCATCACGACATTCGTCTGACATGACTTCCAGATGTGACGTCCAGCCTTTATTCTCCACCATCCGAAACTCTTCCGCACCATCTTCCGGAAGATTCTCAATATCTCTCGTTGTATACGGTATAACATGCGTTACCTGATCTTTCTCATCAGTCTTCACGAGTAAGTAATCCGCAGTGCTCAGACTTTTCATAAACGTCTCGTTCGGCACCTCATCTTTTCCATCGTGTATACGCGATATCTTATCCCCGATCTCGGGCCACCGAGGATGCAGTTCTGCAATACCCTCATGGTTGGACAAAGCGATGGCGTCGATGAGCTCGATGTTCCACGGGCAATCCAATTCCCTGATGATCTTGAGCTGCCGAACGTTGTAGCGCGCGTTGGTCATGTTTGAAGTATTGACCCGGGTGCTCGACGAGACTGCAGCGTGTTTTCCCGGTACGTATGCCTTCGTGTTGCGGTGGAAACTTGGACGGGGTCGACTGATTTTGAAGTTTGTGTCGGAAGCGAATTGAACACGCCTTGTCTTCGGAGCTTTTGCTTTCGATAAAGCGGTGTGATGGATTGGAGATGCTCCAGGCAACATTGTTGGAGTGCCGGTGCGGCAGTCTGGATCTGCGATGTCGCCAGTCCTTGCTTCCGCGGGATACCTGGACATGGCACGCGCAATGACCACTGCATTGCCTGCTGAGCATGTCTTCCGAGCTGCTTCAACTTCTTCCGGGTGCTCTTTTTCCCAACCTGCTTCATTCTCTGCGTCTTGCTCATAACGCATCATGAGCTGTGCAATTTCAAGTCTTCTTTTGTGCCAGATATGGCAGTAAGCGTCTCGATCGGCAGTACTTTGACCTGTCAGTGGCCTCCAGGGGCCCCCTTTACCATTCCAATCTTTAGTGATGCGCCGGAGTAGATTCAGATAAGCTACGGCTCTGCACACGGGGCAGTATTCATCATCGTTGTCTGTGCTGGGGTGAAGGACATGACCGCATCTAGTCCCGACGCGACGACCATTGCCGTCGAAGTTGCTGAAATTCCCCGGGTTATCGTCGAACGAAAGCCGTGGATGGCTTTCCGCGGCAGAGGGTCGTCCTTCATTGAGGGAATGGCGGGTATGGCGGGTATATTCGTCCTGAATAGGGGAGGTGGACTGCGTTACTTGGAGTTTGTCTTGAAGTAAGCCTGCCAACATCATGGCATTGACTGCCGGCGTTCCAGCTGACATCATTGGTCACGGTGGTAATTGAGTTTGTGTCAACGGACAATGTATGTGATTCTGGGGTGGTTGTAGGTGGACTATATTCAGGAACAAAGAGTGATCTTCTAGTTGGGGCGCGCCGTCAATTTCCAATGAGCCCTGTCGTTCACTGTGGCTTTTGCCATCGGTATGCAGCCAGCGCAACTGAGGCGGTATGAGCTCTAGGATCTGGAAGTTGCAGCGCTGGAGCCGCATTCCATTGTTGCCACATCCACTGAGTGCATCACCTGCTTCACACCCAGGACTTTAGTCTTTTCACTGTAACTTTGTATTTCCCTCACAGACCAAATTCTTACTGCATATCCTCATCTAAACCGCACATCTCAACAAAACAATCATCCCTCCACTTCATCAGCCTCGCCATCTTCGGTAAACCGACATTATTCTTAGGCACAGTCCGCTGCAACTCAAGTATCCACTCGTGAGCTTCTTGATCTTCCTTCGCATCATTAACAAACTGGAACGTCACAGACTTATCCCTCTGATCCTGATAAAGAACCAACACTTTCGCCCTCGTCCAGTCCCCTCCGGTAAGACTGGAAAATGCAACGCCGCCTTCAGTCAGGTCCTTGTAGATTTTGAAAACCTCAAAACCAAGCGGATGGTCTCTTAGAAGTGTTTGGGAACCGGGAAGCAGCGGTAGACCTGCTCGCATTTGCGCGTGGAAGGAATTGTGTAGGACGTCGATTTCGTCTGCGTTGCGGACGTGGAAGATGGCGTGGACTTTGAAGTTGAGGAGCTGTTCCAGTTCGTTGCTCATTAAGCTGGTGTCCAGCCAGGCTCCGACATCTGGTGGGCAACTGTACTTCCCAGCTGAGTACGTGGGGCTTGAGCGCTTCCACTGATGTGTAGCCCGACCAGGCTCAAAGTTGGTCTCCGGGGTGAACTTTACGGTTTTCTTTCGGCGATGCGGCTTGGACGTGGACTGATATTCTGCAAACATGTTGTTGAGGTCAGGCATTTGCACGGCTGGCGCTGGAGAGAGTGAGAGATTATTTCACCTGGTTCACCAAAGTGGCGGCAATATACGACTTCCAGTGACTTTAATACATATGACATTGTGTGTGTGAATGTACAACAAAGGTCAAAGCAATCTAACAGTGTTCTCGAACGCAGGATGATGATGGGAAGCGCAATATAGCAATACTCGACGAAGCACATGTCGACTCAATAGGCATCCAAGGGTTGTACCACTCCTCGTTTCGCAGGTCTCCGAATCTAGGTAAGTGTCGCAAGTGCTGACCATAAGCAAAATCATAACTCCAGCGCCTTGTATGCTCTTTCCTCCTCACCAGGCGTATCCTACAAAGCATCTCCTGCATCACTGCATCACTAGATTCCATCCTAGGATATTGACATGTCGCTCTACACGGCAGCATAGCCTCCTCTGCTTCCGCCTCCCTGTACAGTGCCCATGACCTTCCTCGCGAAATCTTTCGCAATGTACGGGATGTCGCGGATCGTGTCTCCATGGGGCAGAAGGTCCCATCCGCGCGCTCCGTACCTGTTGTAGTTGAGCCATGAGCCGAAGATGAGGTAGGCAGCAATCGCGAGGAAGAGACTAGATACTTGTTAGAAGACTGCGAAGATGTAGAGATGAGGTCATGCAACTCACATGATGAAGAACCAGCCAAAGAAGCCCCAGTGGGAGCCACCGTCCGGCGACGGCGCATCCGCACAGGCGTACTTGGTCCGCCATTGCAGCCGCAGTGTCTGAACTTTCTTGTCTTTCTCTTCCGTCTCCATGTCGTAGCCACAGAAGCGCAGACTGTTGTCGTTGTCCTCACACTTGCTCTTGCCGTTCTCTTCTCTCCTCCTCAGCTTTTCTTCTTTCTTGTCATCGCCCTCCTTCTTGTCATCCCCTTTGTCGCCTCCGTCATCTTCCTTATCGTCGTCCTGGTGCGGGCTCTTGTCCACCTCGTCACCCTCCAGTCCTGTCCTCTCCTTGTCGCAGACGAATTCGATGATCGCACGCTGGTTTATGCCTTCCTTTTTGTCGTCGAACGGGAATCTGCCTCCGTTCAGCGTTGCCCTGACACCCTCTAATCCTGCATCGTTGTTGCTCTTGGAGTTGCCTAGGTTCTCAAACTTGGCATCGATCTTCCTCCCGTTCTGGGTCGCATATGTTCCGGCGATATCGATGGGAGTGATGGTGGAGTTGACGTCACTGCTCAAATCGAAGTTCTCTCTGATTCCACACACCCTGGTCCCGTGATGGCACTCGGTTGCCAGACTGCCGCCTTTGTGCCATTTGAGATTGTTGCAGATGTCGATGGTAAAGTTGAACTTCCACTCGAGCTCTTTGGCGATATCAGTCTCCTTGTAATGAACGACGTGCGGACCGCCGAGCTCTTTGAAGTTGAAGTGCTGACCATCTGCGAGGATGTCTTTGCAGTCAAAGGCATGGGCTGCGTAGGGAAGGAGGGATGTGAGGGCGAGTATTGAGAGCAGTGGCGCTCGGGACCGCGATGGAGCCATGGTGGCGCTGGTAGGTGATGCGAGTGTCGTGGTGGATGGAAGGACGATGGCGGAGCTTCGGGGATGGATGCGCCGTTACGGAGATGATGAGGATCAGGGAGGCAGCCGTGGGCGGTTGTGCGACTGTCGCGACGTCGAGCGGGAAGGCACGAGGCGTTCGGTGGATGGATAACACGTGAAAGAGATCACTTGATCAGGGCAGCAATGTCGCGATGTCGCGTGAACCGACTCGGAGAGGAAAGATGGCGCGAATGACGCTGCACGACTCAAACGGCCGCTGCTTAGTCAGATCGGCGTATCAATCTCCGCCCACCAGATCGTCCATGATCAACCATCACCTTCCCAGCCTCCCAGCACCTTTCAGTGAACGACATCACCATCAGAGCTCGTGCGCCAAGGCAATCATGCAAACTCTGGGGCTGCCGGGCATCTGTACTCCTTCAGCTCGGGGATGAGACGCCGGACTTATGACCGCTTCACATTCGGCAATCAAGGTACCTTCTGCAGCGTGGTATTGGCTCTTCATGCAATCCACATCGCTTAGCTCTCGACTGTCATTTTCGATAGCCAGGTCGTATGTAAAGCACGGGTGGCTGTCAGTATCGTATCTTTGAACTCCACGGAACCGCCTTTTGGATACGGGCTGCAATACCTGGGCAGACCTAAAAATAGAACGTCACGAGAAATAGCTTGGAAGTATCTTGTACCATTTTTCGAGCTAACAGCTATCTAGTGTCTAGTCTACAGATCTATCCCCACACACCGTAACTCCAGAGGATGCAAGAATAGATATCGTGAGGATTCAGAACGACGTTTACGAGTGGCCGAAGTACCTGCCCTGGAAATCTCTCGTATCGAGCCGCGCCCATACAATCGATAGCCAACGCGCTAGTACAAACGCCAACGGCCCGAAAGCAAAGGATGTGTGAAGTCGATCGGATCGCGAAGTGACAGTTACAGTGCATGAGAAACCAAACGCCACCCATGCGAGCTGGTCCGAACGAGAAGGCTTTGACCCAGCCGTATGAACCCAATCCAAAGCGACTGTGAGATGCGGAAAATGAGTGAAAGAAGAGAAAAATGGGTAAATAGCAGATAGAAACACAATGTCGAGCGTGAAATGAGTGTAGAATGCGCCATGGAAAGACCGACATAGAGAATCTAAAGAAGAAGAGGGTATTCCCGACGCCGAAAGTGCGATGTCTTCATGCCATGCAATACCGGGGCGAGACTAGAAATCTTGAGACATTGGAAGAAGATTGGCACACAGTGAGCCATTTGATGTGCAAAAGGGAATTCGTGTCCGTCAGACCGCTGAAGCCAATAGATGCCGTGCATGCGATACAGTAGTGTAGCAAGGGCGAAGACATCTATTTGCCTTGGCCCGAGCCCCTAGGGTTGGCAGGCATCGGATACGGGAATGGAGCGTATGGGAGTTGGCCAGATCCGGAGTTGCTGCCGGCAGTTGAGGTACCTGATGGGGAGGATCCAGAGGAAGACATGGTGGTAGTAGCTGTAGTAGTTCTGGTTTCAAGTGGCTCTGACTGAGATCGTCGTGGACGTTCGTGAAGGCTGGAAGGGGCTTGAGGTCTTGGTGGCTGTGGACTAGAGGTATATTCTGAGTGATAGCGTAAGGCTAAGGGACGACTTTGTCGAGCAGTAGAGTCCGGAGTTGGCGTGCGTGAGGTAGGTGATCCTGTGATAATGATCGTAGGCGTTGAGAAGGATTGTTCAGTCGTGGATTGAGGAGTTTCCGTCGAGTCTTGGTTTGACGTAGAAGATATGGTTGTTTGAGTTGCTTCTGAGGTAGTACAGGTACTGATAGACTTTGGAGAATTTGATGGACTGTATGTGTCGGACGGGCGATTGCTCATATATTGGAAGAGAAGACAGTTGTGCTTATGCTTGACTCTGACAATTGACAAGATGTGATTGTGACGTCGTTGCTGACCGAGTGTTGTCACAAATCTGGTGAGAGAGGCGAAAGAGTGTTGGTGGTACTGTTGATTGGAGTATTGTTGTTGGTGATGTGACTTCAAGTTGAAGGTTTCCAGATCTTATATCTCCAATCCCTCTTCTCTGGCCCCGGGTTTTGAGCTTATGAAGGACCGGCTCTACGATCACCGAAGGTCGAAAATAGCAAGACTGGTGTCTAAACAGAGGAATTATCGAAGGTTTCGAGCCGATCCCGTGGTGCATAACCAGAATGTGGCTTGTTCCTACACGCTTCGGAGTCAAGCGTGTAGTTGCTCTGAGTAGGCTATCCAAGCGTCCGTAGTGTCGGTGCTGCAAGCTCGGTATTGTGTCATAAGGTTGTATCCGACCAGTTGGAGAACGTAGTGACACTGCGGCGGGACCGGTGAGTGGGTATCGAGCGTGCACGGAGAGACCCTTTTTAGACGTGTGGCGCCCGGATTATGTCCTTCTTGAGGAGTTGTGTAGACACCGGTAGCGACTGTGCAGCGGGAATACTGTAGGGCTGCTGTCGTCAGATGCTTATTTGAGCCGCAAGCACAACAAATGGCACGTGTGTATGTAGAGGAAGGTTATGTGTGGTGAGATCGATCCACTTATTGGCATGCGTAAGAGGGAGTCTTTAACACAATGTGTGATAGATCAGTATTTCGTTATAGCCTGCTGGCGTATTATTCTTCACTTCGCCGAAGATATACACGATCAGGTTTCCTTCTGGTGTCTTCTCGTATCGGGTGGCTCTCCAAGGAACCACCATGTCTTCACTCTGGTAAGCATTGCAAATAGTCAGGTACGGTAAAGAGCCGGCCGAAGGTTTAACGCGGGTCGTATTCGTGACTTGAGGCGCTCACGCGACTTTGCCGTTGCGCATTTGGCGGGACCCCGGTTAGCGACTACTACGCTCGGTATGGCCGATGGACTGTTTCGATTTGTGATGATCATTTTGGCGCATTTCAAAACTGCATTGGAAAAGTAGGTGGTTAGTCCAATAGAATCGATACCTGCAATGTTCGTGTCGAATGCGCCGACGAGTCAGAGGCACTAACGGTCGCTAATATTAGCTGGTAACACGAGGTGTAGTCACTACGGAAGGATGTTACTCAGCTCCCGCCAAGCTAGCACTCTAGGCCGCGCGCCCACATCCTGCTGTGCAGGAATCTGCGACCCGATCTGTATGCATGAAGTCATCGCCGTCGCATGAAAGGATAGCGACGAGGTGGTGATGTCCAATGAAGCGTGTGGGCGTGGTGGTCGGAGAGTTTGTCAGCGATAGGGTTGCGCTCGCTTGATGAGTTAGTGGATGACCTTTGGCAGGGATGCCACTTTGTGGACTGTTCCTTCCTTCCAGAAGATTACCAAAGGCGGATGCAAGGCACGCCATTCAATGCGACCTTCCACGATGGTGGCCATCTGATCTCAGATATCAGGTTGCTACGGGTCTCGAGGGATTTGGACAGCGGTGAGAATGCCGTCATACAGCCACATATACTACAGAGCCCGCCTGTGAATCTGGTGTACTTCAAGGAAAGCAGTCTGCACATGCAAATCACACAAGCCATGTGCTATTCCCACATTCGTTCTAACATGTCCATCGGTGACCAGAGCCAAGAGATCTGACCTCAAGTTGACCGACTTCAGCTGTTGCGGAGATGCGTCGGGCTCCGGGTTAGCCAAGAAGGGCCCTTAATTAGCCTTGACTGCAGCAAATCTCTCTTAATTACCGGACTTTGCGATTGCTTCAACTGAGTGCTTAACATATGCTTACACAATCGCGTTTCGCCGTAGGACAAGTTTGGTATTTGTGTTCACCGCGAAACATACCTCCCCTGCTTACACAATGCGTTCATGGCTAATGTAATCGTCTGCGATAGTCATTGAAAGGTGGCGAGAAGCGATCGCGGGTGGGTGAGTCACCGCTCGAAGACATGTGGCATACACAGCGCCGATATACAAGTGAATTGTACACACTGCACCGCGGTATTGACCAGACAACGACCTGAACGTACGTCTTCATACTCACACTGTTTACACGTTAGCCGTTCCAGTGGCTACGACTGCGCTCCAAGCTGCTCCTCAACATAAGAATACCCGTTGGTTTTGAAAGCTTGCTCGCGCAGCTGAAAGATTTCCCGGTACTGACAATAAGCGGTGTGGAGATCTCCAGACAACAATAACAGACCGCGCGTTCATCATCTTTGATGAAACCAGGTATCGATTTGAACGCGTACGCGAGTGTTGATAGGCATCTGCGAACCCTATCTTACCGGCGATTTGCCGTTCATGACACAGAAGTTGTAGTAATATTATTGTTTCGGGCGCGGGACACTGGCCTTGGTAGGAAACAGTCGTAATCAGCACACTTGTGGTGCGTAGGAGATAGAACATCGCGAAGCGAGTAATCGCTGGGCTGCCGTGATAGTCGGCAAGCTTCGCCATTGCGGGTCATATCGTCCTTACGAATGGCGATGCGATACTACAGGGCGTGCCAAGGATGGTTCTCGAGGCGCCAGAAGGTGTTGTCTTGGAATCAACATGAAGATGTTCTTTCTTGGGACCGAGAGAGATCTGGAGTAACTGCACAATGCTTCCAAGCTTACACTTGTAAGGTTCTGTATCAGAGTCACGTTCTGCTTGACTGAGAAGGCAGACCATCCATGGGGCCAAACGCATTGCGTTAGCGATGCGACAGACGATTCGGGAAGTTGCCTCAAACCATTCTGCGAGAGGAGGCCTGTTGAAAGGCTATTGCGAAGTCGTGAGAATGAGAACGACGCACGCACGTGACGTAGTCTAGTAGGACTGTATTCTGTCCAGACGATCAGTAAACAGAATGCCATCTTCTCCTGGACGCATTCCGCTTGCCCGCATTTCGCGAATCGAGGTGTCACGGCTAAGCCGCAGCTAGTCGGTGTGCAATGAAGTGTCAGCCTGGACGCACAGATGCTGGTCAGAGCTGTGGCATGACGAACACGATGACGGACGAGCAAAAGCAATACTGCGCTTGCAGTAACATGCCGCTGTGAGTCAAGAGATTTTTGTAGGAACGGTGAGCATTCCAGACGCCAAAGGAGGTGTTGATCGCGATGGTTGAGCGGCCTGGACGCGAGATTGCTGCATGCAGCAGTCACGCTAACATCGCGTTCGCGTTGACGCCAGATCACATGCACGCGTCAATGACGTCAACCATGCTATTCAGTCACATCGCTTCTTTGTCCAAAGTGCATTGCGAGGTTCGGAGCGTTGCAGTAAAGTTTCGACTAGTACATCTAGATGCTCTTCCCGTGCCTATGGCGACATACCTCTGCATACTAATCGGGAACCTGCATGTTAGATCTAAGATCGATCGCCTAGTGAGTGGGGTCTCCAGGGACTAGAGACATGGCATTCGCTATTGACCATGATGTATATGGCTGTGTGCCTGAAACTTCCCCATGTTCCGGTCCACTTGGTAGCCACAGCCATTGACTGTTCGCCCTGGACTATGACGGATCGAGAGGAGTTCCTGAACGACCCCTTTAATCATGACCTCTTCACTCAACGCAAACGGCTAGTGACAGCAACAGCGTGCCTGGAGCCTAGATTTCCCAGCCTGCGCGGCAGCGGGTAACGCAGTGAGACGAGGGATCTGCTAACCTCAGGCCTATCCAAGCATGCAGAACTCCGATCGTTGACGTAGCAAACACCATGACATGGACGTCGATCGTACGATACCTCGCATTGCGTCCTTGGGGGGCATAGGAGACACGCTACGTCGATACAGCTGAATGTGTATAAGAACACTCGGGTTCGTCACTTTATACCCATCATCCAACTCAACAACTCAATCATCCTCCCAACTTCCACACTAGACTTCCAACTACCCACCACAAACCCTTCCCCACAACCATCAACATGTCTGCCAACCCAGGAAACGTCGTCGGAGGCCACAAGGCCAACCTCAACAACCCCAGTACGTCTTTCACTTCGGCTTCCTTCTAGACTTCGGAACTGACATGCTCCAGACACTTCCGACGAGTCCAAGCAGCACTCCAAGGAGGTGCTCCAGGACATCGAGAACGGCGGTGACGCCAACGCTGTCTCCTCCTCCGGTGGTGACAAGAACCCCAACAACGTCGCCGGTGGCCTCAAGGCTACCTTGAACAACCCCAACACCTCTGACGAGGCCAAGCAGAGCGCTAAGGAGAGGCTCGGCCAGGAGTAAGCAGCTATGAAGTTTTGATAGAGGCCTTGATGCCTATGGGCGGATCGATGAGGAGGGAGGCATTGAGCCTGGACATGCGACTCTGGTCGTGTAGCTTTATCCATAAATGATACCATCAACACAACCATGATCGCCTGTATCTTGTCGTGACGCTTCCTCGTATTCCATGGGGAATTCGCTAGCTCCTTCTACTCTTTATCTGTTTTCAGCAGCCCCATGACAACCTCGACCACCCTCCTGAAACCCTCCATCTCTTCCTCAACTGTTCCTCCCATACCCGCACTTGCGAAGCTCGAAGAGTTGCCCACATATACCGGCTTTCCCGTCTTGCGTGCGAGGACCTTGGATAACCGAGTCGCGAAGTCTAGTGTTCCGCCGTGTGTGTAGAGGGGGGTGCTGAGGGTTTCGGCAGGTTTGGCTCTCTGCGAACACACATTAGCTCATGCAATCGTGGGGGGTGAGCACAAAGTATGAGATGACGTACATTTGGCATCGCGTAGACAAAAGAACCGAGGGGTGCAGAGGACGCGGATTCGGGTGTCGCGGTCGTGAGGAAGAGCAGTAGGTTTGGGCCATTGTTGGTGAGCTGGAGGTGGATGTTCGTGTGTGGCGCCTTTGGGAGCGGGAACGAGACTTCTATAGGCGCGCGCGACGCGTTGGTATCTGTAGTTGGAGCAGCCATTGCGGGTGTTGGCAGGGAGTGTGGAGAGGGAAGTTGCGATGATGGCCGGAGGCAGGTGGGGCAACATCGCGAACCTCACCCGCAAGATTGTCCCCGCAACAAAAACCAAGAAGAGAGCAGCCTAATCGCATTGCATGTCACTACGTGTACCTATAAAAATTCAAGATCTCGATACAATCAACCAGATTGATCTCCGCTTCATACCACTGGTGGCAAATAAGATCGACGAAGGAGATCAGGCCATTGCGGAAAAGAGTCGAAACAGGGAAAAGAGCTACGGATTCGGGAGGGTTACTGCACAGTCATTGATTTGGACAAAACATGGAACCGGAGATTCCAGAGCCCTACGACCCCTCCAACGACCCAGAGGAACAAAAGCTCATAATCTCAGTTCTAGACTCCTTCCGGTACACACCCACGTGCCTCACCAACGCCAGCCAAAAGCAAAAGTACTGATATTGAAACAGATCATACCGCCGCCTCGCTCACTACAACGGAACCCACCTCCGCCGACGGGCCTTCTACTCCCTCCCACAAGCCCACTGGACACTGCTATCCCGACCACCCTTCTCTATCCTATCAACACTCTCCCAAGTAGACGACTTGATCGACAGCAATGCCGAACTCGCTGAAGCCATCTTTGTAGTAGGTTTCAAAGCCTTCTTAGCACCTACCCTAGATAGTGAATGGGTCGCTTCAATCGTCCCCGAGAAGTATGCACACGACGAGTACAAGATCTTCAACCTCGTCATGGACGAGCTAGGAGCAAAGACCAGCCAAGGCGACGCGGAAAAAGCGCGAAGTTGCGTCAACCAGTTCTGGCGTGAATGGAGTCAAGAGGGGGCAGTTGAGAGGGTCAAGTGCTTCGATCCTGTTGTAGCGGCGCTGGAGCAAGAGTTCACATCACAGGCTGGAACAGCCTCCGATTCAGATCGCGCGAATCTCAAAGTCTTGGTCCCGGGTGTTGGACTCGGTCGTTTGGTCTTCGATATCTGCAGTGCTGGATTCAGCGTTGAGGGGAACGAGATCTCTTACCATATGCTCATGGCAAGCGCGTTGGTTCTGAACGAGACTAAAGGAGCTGGGCAGTTCAAGATTGCTCCTTGGGCGCTGAATAGCTCGAATCATGTGTCTCGGGAGGATCAATTGAGAACGGTCACAGTGCCGGATGTACATCCAGCGACCGAGCTGGCGAAAGAGGGGACTTCGAAAGTGCCGGCAAGTGAGCGGATGAGTATGTCAACGGGCGACTTTTGCGTCGTGTATGGCCGAGAGGATTACGCTGGCGAATTCGATGCGGTAGCGACTGTTTTCTTCATTGACACTGCACCGAACATTATCCGCTACATCGAGGCTGTTCACAACTGTTTAAAGTCTGGTGGTCTCTGGATCAACCTTGGTCCTCTGCTGTGGCATGCGCCACCACGGAGAGACGATGGTGAAGACGAGGCAGCAGGGGATGGAAGGAGAAGAGCCGATGTTGATGCAGGAATTGGCGATCCAGGTTCAGTGGAACTCACAAACGACGAGGTGGTAGCACTGGTCGAACACTTTGGTTTTGTCATGGAGAAGCAAGAGCATGGGACGATTGAAACGGGGTATATTTCCAACACGCGCAGTATGCTGCAGTCTACATATCGTCCTTCTTTCTGGATAGCAAGGAAGAAGTAATGAAACACTTGCACGCGTATATCACAGATAGCTCACAGTACTGTTCCGCTCGAGCTTCTCATCATCACGGTGTCACAGATGTTGATGTCACGTGGGCAGAGACAGCTTTAGTTGTAGTAATTGTATTGTAAATTGATCGTTCACGAGAGATGGCAAAGTAAAGCATGAAGAAGGGGAGAACCTGCTGCCTAAGCCTCGAAACCAAAGCAAGAGCGAATATGGTATCATGCAACAAATATACAAAGAAATGCAAACCAGAAACCAATTCGTACGCTCAGTTGGAAAAACTTCTGACAAATGTATAATGCGACAGAAGGTCAGAGACTGGCATGACAAGCCTACGAAGGTGGCAATAGAACTCAGGCCACCATGGTGGGACCTTTGCCTTCAGACCCACTCAACCGAGCATTGGCATGTGCAAGGCTAGACTGTGCAGCTTCTTGGAGCTGTGTCTCTACATTCCTATCCCGCTCCCGCTCGTGGGGCGTGTTGCGGCCCGATGGTACCCGTGCATCGTGTGAACCATCGCGCTGCTGTGGGGGTGGTTGCGAATGCTGGTCTGACGGATGATGCACTTGCTGATGCTGCGGAGTGTGCTGACCGTTACCGTGCGGCATGTGTGATGGCGTAAGCCCATGATGCGAAGGACTCATCATTGCAGCGGGACTCGCCGTGCTCGCGCGGTCGCCACTCTCGTGGTCACTAGTCTCACTCTGGCCATTGCTGGTGGTGCCAGGGGGGTACGTGTATCCGCCGCGCAATTCTCCTTCTTTGACCTCTTTCCACGAGCATTTGGCATGTTTCTTCGTACAGCCAACACATGCTGTGAGATTCTTCAGGCAGTCCATGTGTAATCTCCGGCAGCGATCACACGGCGGTATTATGCGTTCACCCTTCGCCAACCCTTCCATCCTGTGTACCATCTCGACCTTGAAAGGGCCCCCATCGTCCTTTTCGGGTTGCTGACTGGCGCGTTGACTTGAGGCGGGAAGCAGGTTGGATGGAGTGTTTGGTATCGGCACGGGCGAGTTCATCATTGAATGCAGTTCAGACTCGTTGAGGGGCTGCGATGGTCTTGCAATGTGCTGAAGAGACCCCTGATGGCCATCCGCGGGTTTGGGAACAGCTCTTGTGGGGATCGCTGCCGGTGTTGAGGGGTGAGAGTTGGTATGGCTGCCTACGGACGGCCTTCGCACATCAGCTGTGCTAGTGGGCGGCTGCGAAGACGAACTCCGGCCATTTGTTGTGTGGAACTTGGCTAGCAATTCATGCCGGGTGGATGATGAAGTGCCATGGCCGCGGCTATGACCGTGGCTGTGACCGTGGCCATTGGCTTCATGATGTTGACGCGCATTGACTGCGACGAAACCACCGCCGCCGCCAGGTGATGTCTGGGAAGGTTGAGTGTGCGGTTGGCCGTGCGCCTGGCCGTACCCTGAGCTCGGGGCGCTCGAGCTGCCACCATTCATAAGGGCGACATTTGAAGGGCTTGTGGGCCGGGGAATGGTAGGCGCTGGGCTCGCGGTCGCTCGTCGATCGAGGATAGCCTGCTTACGGCCCTTCAGTCTGTGGTTGAGCTGGCGCGTGCGGGCAGCGACTGCGCGATGTTAGCCAATGTCGATGTTAATTAGTGATAGTCGGTCAGACTCACCCTGATCGGCAAGTGAACATATCTGGCTCAGGTTTTTCTCCAGTATCTCCATTGTGCCCAGCTCCTTCTCCTCGTCTTCGATGATGGGTTGGGGTGGGATCATCTTCTGCGGGATGCCAGATGAGATCAAGACGAAATCCTCCTCTGAGATCTGGACCCGACACTGCTTCGTGTAGAACTGGCAGACGCGCACGCCTTCGCTCATCTGATCCAGCTGGAACTGCTCGGGCTTGTTGCGCGCAAACTCGACCACGTCCAGCCAAGTCACAGTCGTCCCATCCTTTCCGTGACTCTTGAGCACGCGCGGTGGTCCGTCGAACAGCCGCTCGAATCGCTTGATCAGGATGGGTCCCAGTGGCCTTGCGCCCAGGTTGCAGGCCATGCTCTCGTGGCGATCGAGCACGCCCTGGTAGTCGCTGAGGACTGACAAGATGTTGGGTAGGGTGTCATCGTTCGTTATCAGCGGCAGGTCCTTCTCGAGGTGTCGTGCGAGGTAGTTGATCTGGAGGTGGTTGTGGGTCTTAGCGGCTTTGGGGACAGGCGCGGCCGCAGCCAGGTGCATCTCATGCGAAGGACTGCGTTTGCGCTTGAGGTCGGCGGGCAGCGGCGGCGCATGGTGTTGCGGCGGATGCGACGACATGGTGCGCTCAGCCGCAGCGTGCGAGTCGGCGGTGGCCATACCTTGGCTTGGGTGGGAGGGATACCAGGTTGATGAGTGCTGCGAGGGCGGAGTGGACGGATGGCAGAGATTCGAGGGTGGAGCGGAGGACGCTAGGCGAGGAAGTGGACAGCTCACAGCTCAGCACACTGCAGGCGCTCGCGTCTAGTCGCGAAGGCCCGAATTACAGGACAAGATACATCACGCAGAGAGAATCGCAGCGAGAGATGCGAGGGCGCGGGTGGAAAGCCAAACGGCTGCTCGGTGGCTGAAGTGCTCCGAACGGAAGGCAGAGGGGCGGACAAGGGAAGGCACGCAGCGCACCGGAAATAAGAAAGAGCTTTGCAGCGTACGCCTCCCACCCAATCAATACGCGTCTGCAGCTAGCAGCGGCCCCGGCGCCGACCTGCACTGAATGCGCATCGCTGATGATTCAGATTCTGCCGACCCGACCACGACAGCCACTGAGCGCCCTGCCACGGGCGGACAGTCACGACAGCCTATTTGCAGACGCCCGCAAGCCTGTGGCAGAAGTGTGTGAGGTGCCGTCTGAAGAAGAGGCCGGCACCGAGCACCCCGGGCTGGCGTCGTCGTCGTCTGGAGGGATGACGAAAAATGCCGCAGGCCCACGCGTCCTGGGTGAATCTAGCTGCTACGATGCAAGCGCCACAGCACGGCGGAGGTCTGGAAGCATGGCGGAAATCATGTTTCCACCCCTGCGTCGCCTGACACCAAAGCCATGCACGTGACCGGAATGTGGGGTGGGAGGAGCCTTTCCCGGAGCGGCACAGACCACCACCTCTAACTGGGCGCGGCGGCTGCACGTCACCACAAGCTTCAACATCCAAAACGCGTCTCTCCCTCTCCACGCTACTACCATGTCTGAGCGAGGCGCATTCCGGGGTCGAGGCGGAGGTCGGGGCGGCGACCGCGGGGGACGCGGTGGCGGTCGTGGCGGTGCACAAGCGGGCGGTGCGGGCGGACAGACTGAGCGCCCGAAGAAAGAGAACATTCTTGACCTGAGCAAGTACATGGACAAGCAGATCACCGTCAAGTTCAGTGGCGGACGTGAAGGTATGTAGGGCAAGAAAACTAGGAAGGAGCGCTGCAAGCTAACCTCTTGCAGTCATTGGCACGCTCAAAGGCTACGACCAGCTCATGAACCTTGTCCTGGATGAGGTCAAAGAAGCCCTGACTGGTATGTCTCTGATCTTCGTGCTCATACCGACCTATCTGACTTGACCCAGACGAGGACGGCAACATCCGGTATCGCAAGCTTGGTCTGATTGTCGCGCGCGGCACTCTTCTGGTCGTCATCTCGCCCGTCGACGGAAGCGAAGAAATCCCGAACCCGTTCATACAGGAGGAGGAATGAGCAAGAGATGAACAATGAGAATTCTCCAGACCTGGGGCGAATTGCTCTAGGCAGAGCAGCGGCGAGGATCAGGGCCCAGGGACGTTGGACGGGCTTTGATACCCAGTACGATACCCACGAGGCAGATGCAAAGCGCAACTACGACACAAAATTATCGTCGATACTATCACAGCTTGTCAGAGCTTGCATGCTCTTGAAGCCAGCGGCCAAGCAATACACAAAAGTTATGAAGTCTGGTCAAAATCATCACTTGGATTTCTGAGTTCAATCATCTGCTTCAACAGCGCAGCTGCAACAGTCATGCTAGGTCATTATCAGCGGGCTCACTACAGAAGACTGACTTTGGCGTACTTGCGGCTGACACTACCAAGCAGATTATGTCAATCGTCGCCATAGGCGTTGGCTGCATAGTTTCTATCGCCAACAGCTAACGTGTTCTTGTCGCAAGCCCCTCTAGATCTGATTACTTACGCGATTTTTACTGCAGCCAAGAGTTTGTTTTCAGGTATCAACGTCATGGTGCTAAATGTGTGTCGGTCGATCGCAACGTCGGAATGTTCGGAATGCTGTTCCGACAGTGTTCCTTTCACTCCACACAACCCCTCATCAACCTCGACCTTTGATCATCGACGATCACAAAGCAAAGTCTGATCAATCGCAGGACACCGGATCAAATTGCCGACGTCAGGTACCCGCTCTTCTCAGCAGAGCCCATTACCACAGATGGCTGAACTAGCGCAAGTGGGCATGACGTCGAGTTGATGTCAAATATGGTGACGCTATCATATGGGATTATAGAAAGCCCATGGTGAAAGTTTACTTCACATAGCACACGACACTCATCTTCCTACTCAACAACCTTCACATATACCCATCCACTACATTACATTTCAAAGCTCGCGGTTTATATCAAATACACATTGCAAATATGAGCCAGAACCAGAACCCCGATGCTGTCAGCGACGGTCGCCAGTTTGCTGGACACGTTGCGCCCAGTGAGCCCCTCATGAAAGGTGGTGTAAGTACATGCAGACCTCCCTCGACATCGTTGCAGAAATTTGCTTGATAGTCTTCTGAACCCATCGGAGCCTCCGTCAACACAACCAAGCACCAAAACACATCATTATCGAACCCAACTAACAAACCCCAGCACCAACCCGGAAAGCTCGTCGGCAACGACGCCGTCCCCGAGTTCAACGCACAAACCCTCCCCGCCGGCACCGCGCCAGCATCCAAGACCTTCCAGCCCAACCCCGACCTAAACAACCAGAAGATGTACCACCAAGCCTCCGACACCCTCCAAGGCGCCACTTCAGGTGACGTCCACACTGGTCTCGGCCAGCCAGTCCAAGGCCAAACATCGCAAGAACTCCACGATGGTTCCAGCAAGGGCCAGGGCCTGGCCGGCCTGGCTAGCGGCGTCAAGGACCAGACAACTGGTGGTGATATCAGGGAACTGAAGGATGATCCTGCACATGCTCATCAGAGGAATCTTGATGATGTGCCTACTGGTCAGAGGGGTAACGTTGGTGGCCCTCCTGCTGAGGAGAGGGAGCCTTCATCTGCTTAGGTACACTCCTTCACAAAGGATGATTGCATGAGCGTATCGCTTTTAGCAAGGCTGTATCGATCAGTCTTTGCTGAAGTGTAAAAGTTGCCTTGGATGCTATAACAGTCCAGGGCTAGATAGAAGTAATGAAATAACCGACTGAAGTTAACATATGACCGTCAACTTCCCTAATAATGTGAGCGAGGGTTTGTTGCATTCACCAAGCACAGGCTTCATAACCCACGGGGGAATGCAGTGGACCCCGTCAACACCGCATCACTCAACTCAGGCGTCTTTTCGAAAAACTCCTGAAGCAGTTCAAGCATAGCAGTTTCACTGCCTGACTACTGTCACCAGACCATTCCGTCGAACAAAGTCATCGATAAACACACCTTGTGGGCCAACTACGCCAACGGCGCCTGGAAGGTACTCTGTATTGCCCGTAACTGGCGATTCGTACGGATACTCGCCATCTGCAACATGTGAGTAAAGTCTTCGAGAACGCTTTCAGAGATCATGGCTCACAGGGGATGGTGAAGAACGGTAGGCCCGCAAGAAAAGGTATGTGGCTTGGCTTGAAACCAAAACCTTGCTTTTTGTGCGCGCCTTCTTCCAGTGATCTCCTGAGCGGGGTTAGCTTTGTTCAGCTCCCTTCACCAGCTGCTCACTTGCTTATGATATTCATGTCGGTACATAGGTTCCGTATCTCCACTCGGAAAGATGAGTATCTTGTCCAGACTCTGTCCATCGGATGGCTGCGGTAGTATTGCAGTACGTATCCAATTTCTAAAGGTGTCACGCTCCTTAACAGCTTGCTCGTATTGTTCTGTCGTAAGATCCTTGCCAAGAGACCTGACCGCACGATTAGCTAAAGTTTACCTCATCTCCAACATAATGACACACCATTTGTACTCGATATAAGGATCAACAAATGCCTTCTTGCGAAACTCCTTCTCGTAGTCTCGCACAAAGGTTTGGCAATTCTGGTAGCAGTCATACAGCTGGATATGGGCAACAGTCTGCTATGTGCGTCAGCTAACAGTCGAGAGGATAAGAGTCGAAAAGCTCACGGTATCTAGATAATTCTTCAGTGAAGTCCCACCAGCCATGCTTTGCCGCCTGAATATGCCATCCACATCGAGCTTCTTTCGCTTGACCTGCAGGAAGTCTTCCAAATGACGTATGAAACGCCCTGTATGGGATAGATACTTGTTGTGGCATCCAGAAAAGATATCGGTGGGGTACAGTAGCTCAATTGCGGCCGCGCGGGGTTTCTTGGTAACCTGGCGAGCACATAATGTTTGAGATATTGTGGTAGCCATCTGGATGCTGCGTGTGAAGAAGCCGACAGTGTCGAGTTCTCTGTTCATACGTTAGTCTCTTTACAGGTGGAAATGACCCTTCATGCTTACTTCGACACTGGTACAATCCCCTCCGTCGATATACCCCCTAAAGATGGACGAAGTCCAAAGAGGCCATGATCAGCTGCCGGACCTACTACGCTTCCAAATGCTGCGGACTCGTTAATTCTGTCGAAGTTCTGAAGGATGGAATGAGCCTACTATCAGTCCCTAAAGTGGCATCTATCCAGTCATACGCTGACACAACTGTGGCGCTTCCAGTACTACTGCCACTAGGTTCTTGATACCCATCGCCCCTAGGGTTGAACGGTGCAGAGTAGTCAATCCAATCCCGCGCATTCTCTCCAGAAGCGAATTGGACTGTCTTTGTCTTGCCCACTATCGCTGCCCCTGCCTCCAAGAGCTTTTCAACGCACGTGGCGTTGCATTTTTTCTCGGGATACAAGGTCTGGTAGGCCCGGCTGCCAGCGCTTGTTCGCACCCCCTTCAGATCGATGTTGTCTTTGATGGCTATTCTCAGGCCAGATAGAGGCTTGGTTTCGGAGGGCTTGTCATAATAGCAGCGACTAGGGACTGGAATCGCAGCTGTACCAGGGATAGTGTATCTAGAGACGGGGTATCAGCAGAGCCTGGTGTGTAGGTAGTCGTATGTTGCTGGTGTAAGGAAGTACATACGTATTTTCTCTATGTCCATCAGGCACTACCGGAACCTGAAAAGCTTCGTGCGTGTCGTCGAACAGGCGCCATGCCTGCCGAATGCCAACGTTGGAAGCAAAGTATGGTCCACTGCGGAAGCTGACTAGGTGCACATCAGAGCTTACCACCACGGTGTGAACGCTTCGATTTTGCCACTCCTCTGGTATGCTGATGGCCAAACTGTCCAGGTCGTATTTGGTGTTTGCGAGACACAGGAAGTAGACGTGCTGTAGGAAATGCTTGTTGAACACATCGTCTGTTTTGAGCCACGACTTAACGGTCGAACGCAGATTGCGAGGCGAAGCGTCCATCGCGTTCTTAAGAACAAATAATGTGATTGGAACAAGTCCGTCGTTAAGATCAGGCGCGCTGCCAAAGATACACTCGCGGGAATCCGGAGGTATTGACGTCAAGCGTGATGGAATGTAGTACGAATTCGCTCCGACGCGAGTAAGGGTCGTAGTAGGAATGGCAGACATTATGACGATTGTTAGCTCGCATGCGAGTGAAGAGTATGCAGAGGTGTATCTAAGAAGTCACCCAGGCATTAGGAGCAGTCTAAGGAAGGTGTGAGTCTTTCGTTTGTACGACATCCACTGTTGGTCAATGCCTCTCGGGGATCGCACGTGCACCTTCCTGTGTGAAGACACTAGAAAACATGTTTGGCCTTGCAAACGCAAGAATGCTCGAGCAAGATGGTGCAGTAAGCGTATTACTATGATGCTACATAAACATTAAATTATCTTCTGCTGCCCTGAGGACCAGACAAGATGCATCCGTCAGCACACTCGGGATCCGTGCTGTTGTATGCGATTTGTCCTACACTGCCACCAGGCTCGATGCTAGGGTCACGCGGGCTCTGGAACATACGTCCAGTCTCGGGTGAAAGTAGCGTCTCGATGATATCGCCGAAGGGGTTGCGGATATGGGCAATGGGTTGGCCCTTGGTGACTGGCTCATCGACCTGTACGAGCCTCTCGACGAAGCCTCCGTACTGCGACCATGTGTCGTGGAAAGTGGTGATCATGTATGTGTTGCTTAGATCGGGCTCCACGGTCTCGTTTGTGCCCGTCATCTTGAGGTCGACCATGACGCGGTTTACGTAGTCGACTACGCGGTCGATTAGGCTGTTGTTCCAGACCTTTGCTTGTCCCATCTCTACTGTGAGCGAGGGAATGCCGTAATCGACAAAGGTTGTCTCGATGGAGCCTGGCTCACCAGGATCGATCTTGAGGGTATCGGGTTGGAGGAGTTTGGCGAGGCGCTCGACGTAGGGGAGGCGGAAGTCGGAGTAGCACCATAGCGAGGTCTCTCCGCCGGAGCTGGGTGTGTCTAAGCCGTGTCAGCTGAGATTTGATAAGTGTTGGATGTCATGAGCTTACGCAGGTCAATTCCAACGTCAACATTTGACGTGTTGGCCCAGATCTGGTTCCAGATGTTGTACGCCAAAATGTCAGGGCCACTGCCTCCTTCCATGGCTGAGACACCGGGGAAGATGCGGTTTACGTTTGTGAGAGAACCACTGGCGCCAGACGTGAAGTAGTTTCGCTGGTTGAGGTAGATTCCCATCGGGTTGACTGTCGGAATGCCAATGACTGCGTGGACGTTAGCAATGATCTCGATGAAGATTCATGGTACATACCTGTGCCATTGAGCGTCGCGACCTGGTCTTGGAGCTGCTCGAACATGCGCTGAACCACGCGAACCGGGTTCAACTCATCGCCGTGAATCGAGGCTGAAAGCGACAGCTTCTTGCCCGTGTGCAGACTCTCCGGGGTTCCGCGCGCAACCATAATGGGGATGTGCACGGGATGTCCGCCATTGAGCTCGCCAGCGCGCATGTAGTACTTGGAGACGGTTTGCGGAGGCACATCAGCGAGGTCGAGACCGCTGATGACCGGGACGCCGTTCACGACATCGCCTGTGAAGTTTACAGCAGAAACGCTGCCGGCGAGGACTGCCGTGGCTGCGGCTACGCGAGAGATGAGCTGCATGGTCGCGTTAGTCGGCTGAGGCTACGCAGGTACAATTGACATGGCCGACTCACCAGCTCTGCTTTATAGTGCTGACTTCTCGCGATAAGAGACCAGCCATGGTAGTTCCATGGTCCATACTAGCTCCGCTCTTTGCGCAAAGAGGAAGGTCCACATGGGTTTTGTCCACTCGAGTGACGATGCCCAGAGGCGACTGCATGCCAATGCTCGGCGCGCCTGTCAGGCCGAACCCAAGGTCGCGGATTGCGGTGGACTCTATCATGGGTTATGGCCGGTACCTGGCGATCATCTTTTTGTCGGATGTATGCGGATGGTCACAAGTTGAGAACACAATGGCTCTCAAAGCGAAGTCGTGTTCGTAGGTTTCGAGCTGATGTGATGGAAGCCATAGCTCACGCGAGTCATGTAGCGCCGGTATCGATAAGCCCACTGTCAGCACCGGACATCACGGTGACCGTCAGACCTTCAAGCTTTTCACCAATTTCGGCGTATCGGAAGTATTCATATTGTAACTACGAACCTCATCTTCGTGTAGCCGTCGCGGTCGTTAGCCACGCGATGCCATCGTCACCCCCGCTATTACCATCGCCACTCATGATCCCATTGTTCCTGTCTCGCCTTACATTCTGCAATATCTTGGGCTGAGAACCCGCAGCGCTCAAGCTCTTCCTCTATCTTGGGCTCCCCGGACTTCCTTGAGCAGAAAGACAATAGAGAGGAGACCGAAGAGATTGCGCGGGTGATGATGTTGCGCTTCGCTTTGGGACGTGGAGGGAGGTCTGCTGGGAAAGGAGTGAAATAGTACGCGGGGTTTATGTTGTTTGCCATATCTAGTGGAGTAAGTTGAAGCGTGCTCTAGGAGGGGTGTCAATGACGAAGCGATTTGGGCCGTAACGAGAGGGCTGTGGCTCTAGAAGTAGCGAGACTCTCACACTGAGCACCCGATTGCGGGAGAAGCACACAAGTGAAAGCTTTACATGTTAGTCACAGAAGCGCCTGCCGCCTACAGACTCCTCGGACGAGAAGAAAGCAGAACAGGTCTGCAGACTATACTACGATAAAAACGTACAAGCTCCAGGGTGTTCAGATTTATTCTTGTATTTGGTGCATACTCGTGCGCAATCTCCCTAACTGCGCGTAAGGCACGATTAGCTTCCAAAACCTGAGCGCTCGCAAGACATCCATGTTCATACGATGCTAGACTCTAAGCATGCCTTGCCATACGTCCGTGAGTATCCCCGTTCATCTTCATAGCTTCCGCTCCTCCAATCCCAGTGCTTCATTCCCGCATCCAACTCAGACACCTTCCGCCTCAAACCATCTACTCCTCACGAGTCACAGCCCAGTGAATGACAATCCCAATGATACTGCTCAAACAGATTCCCAGCATAATCAGGAGCCAGAACATCAGGCTTCGAGACCGGCCCGCATCGTGAGCGTGCGGAACGCCACCGCGCGCAGCCATCTCGATGTCGGGCGTTCGGTAAGTGTGGTCGTGAGACACTTGTTTGTCAGTCTGAGTAGGGCGCGCAGATGAACCTTTCAGCCGCTTCAGCAACGACTGCTTGGCCGGAGGGCGCGGCGGAAGCTCGGCTGGGAAGATCGAGGAGACTTGTTCTGGCGATGTACGTGGGAAAGAGGTGTAGTATTGCAGGTGTCCAGATCGAATGCAAACTGGTGCCGGCAGATGAGTGTCGCGTTTAGCAGAGCCGGGGTGAGACTTTTCTACGTCCGCGCTTTCGGTAACGGTGTCCATGGGCTGAGGCTTTGTGTGCTCTGATAGCGATGCACGTGGGAAATACATGTAGCCTCGTCCAGATTGAATGCAAATTGGTGGAGGCAGATGAGTGTTGCGCTTAGCAGAGCCGGGTTGAGACTTCTCTACCTCCGCACTTTCAGTAGCGGAGTCCATCGGCTGAGGCTTTGTGTGCTCTGATAGCGATGAGAGGACGACGTCGGCAATGTCATGAGGTGGTGGCTCGGCAGCTGCTACATCAGAAGTGGTGGCTGTCCCTTCTGTAGCCGTAGATGACCCAGAGGTAGACATGGTCGTTGATATCTGACTGGCTTCACCGGTGGGAGTCTCGTCTTCGACTGTCGGGAACCGACGAGGTTGGTCCGTTGGGGGAGTGATCTCGGCAGGAGGAGTCATGGCTTTGGAGGAGTGCGATAACTGAGCTTTCTGGTGTGGTGTAGGTCAGATTTGAGAGTTGAAGGTAACGAGACGCGTTTGATGTGACGCAAACTTGCGCCTGAGTAGTGGGCCCGTTTATCCGAGGTGAGCGCTTGTTTTGAAGTGACCCTTTCACTGACGTTGCGCTCCCCGGGCTGGTGAAGCCGAAAGAGGCTAGTGAGGGAAGTCATCTCATCTTTCACTGAGCTACATGGTTTGCCATGACCTGGCTCAAGCACGTGGAAAGAAAAAGAACGGCAAGAAACTGAGCAAACACCCATGGAACGTGATAATAGAAACGTTTTGTTACATAGCAATGCTAATAATCCAAACATCCAAAAGAAAACTACCCATAACATGCCATAGCCCCGTCATCTGTCTGCCTCTATATAATCATAACAACGTCCGCCCTACTCAATATCCACCTTGCGGATCTCAACGTATCCAGAGTCAAGCTTCGGGACCTCGACTCTGAGCACACCATCCTCCAGCTTCGCCGTGATACCATCGGCGTCAACACTGGCAGGGTTGGCCCTCGTCCCAAGGCGAATCTTCCTCTCGAAAGCTCCAACCTTACGCTCGTTCAGAGCCAGTGTCTTCAAGAACTCTTCATCGCCAGGGCGGTATATCACACCAGCGATGCTGAGCTCGCTCTTCTCAGCATCCCAGTTTACACCAACATCTTCCTTCTTGGCACCGGGCAGTGAGACGTGGACGACGTAGGCAGACTCGGTGTCAAAAATATCGGCGTCGGGTGTGTAGTCGTCGGCCTCGGTGGGCTTGGTAGCGTTGGCGGTGTTGGAAGGGTGGCTGTCAGTGAACTGGTTGAACAGCTGGGCGGCGAAGGTGGAGGGGTCGAAAGAGTTCCAGGCGTTATGACCGGCACCGAAAGATCCGCCTCCCATGCCTCCGAAAGGTCCTCCGCGTGCCCATGGGCCCCAGCCTCCGCGATGGCCGCGATGGTGTGGTCCATGACGAGGTGGACCTCCGTAGGGATGAGAGTGGTGGTGTGGGCCGGAGTCTCCTGGGCCGCCCTGGCCACAGCGTCCTCGACGTCCTCCACCCCAGCGACCATGTGGTCGGCCACTGTTGTGAGCGTCGTTGTCGGAGCCAGAGTTGCCGGATGGGACTTCACCGTTGTCGTACTCAGCGTTCATAGTAGCATCCTTTTCGGCTTCAGGATGTTCATTGCGTTCTGGGTTCGACTCGCCGGTAGCTCTCTCATGACGATGTTCGGGGCGACCATGAGGAGGCCCGCCACGGTGAGGCATTCCCCTTTCGCCACCGAAGAATTGACCCCATCTGAATGGAG